TTGGTTTACAAAGCCTGACGTCAGTTTTATAAAGTTTAAATGTGAACTGATACAAAAAGTGAAGAGAAATGCAAATTCATTATAGTAATTTCCATTATTCAGATCTCACAATAAGTTTAATTTGATTAATCTGTGAAGAACTGCAAATAAAAAAACGTAGCACTTGTTACTGATATTTAGCCATAAAAATGTTTCATAACTTACAGATCATATGCCGCCAACACAAACAGAACAAAACAAGCATTTGAAACATTTTCTTCAGTTGTTCAATGAGAAGATCATCCACTGAAAACACTCTCAAGCTCTTCATCTGATGTGTGAATCCTCCCATGACAGAGTTTGACGCACTAAGTTCACACACTCAAACACACTTCCACTGAACGCATGTTATTGATGTAGTTAGGCAACCTATAAATATTCTTCTGACTCTTATTATATGGAACTGAAACCTGAACATCCTGCTTTCTTCAGACATGTTTTTTAATCTGTTGGATGGACAAACATCTTGTGCAGGATACTGACCATTTCTGCATGTCTTTTGTACGTGAAGGTCTTCTTCCTGTCCTGCTATTAATGAACATCACAGTCTGACAGTGAAACCAACTACTGAATCAAAGCATGTTTGGCAAACAGTTAAATAGAAGTCGAGGGTTAAACTCTGAACAGAAATATATCCATGGATGCTTTATCGGAAGATACAAACTGCAAAAGTTGTTCTTTTTCCATTTTCTGTTCTTGCATATCTCAAAAGCAATTCTGTTTTTTGATGAGTTATTAACTGATTAGAAATCAGTCCAAGTGTGGGTTTGATGTCATGTTAACTTATGATGTCATGTTAACTTAAATCTTGAAATAGCCTGAGACGGCGGACGGCTGCTTTCCATTGACTGAAGCCTACTGATGATGACGCAACTAAAAAGAAAAATTGTAAATATTCCCAAACGCTAACACTGCTATCTAGGGTTGTTCTATAGCAACCATCTAAAATAAGTGTCTTTAGTTTATTAAACTTAGAATACATTAAAAACATGTATTTTAAATAACTGAAAGTGTGCCAGACAGCAACACAGTGTCGGCCAGGATCCGGCCCACACATGGATTATACACACGTACCAGATGTAGGCCGGATCTGGGCCGATTGTGTTGCTGTCTGAGATACTTTCAGTTATTCGTTCATTAGAGACCCGATGTCACACAGAGACTCACATCGGCCGAGTTACGTGGATCTCACAAATACAAACTCGTCTGATCTTTGAGTCGAACACATTTGAACATATTTGAGTCGAACCGCTTCATACTTGTTCATACAAAAAAAAGTAGTTTTCTTAGTCACGATGCTGCAACTTGCTAAATCAGTGACTGAAACCAAAAGGTCCCACACGATGTGCCACACACTCCTTTCATCGGGCCTTTAGTTTGATCTATCCTGGACACATGTACTAATACTGGTCATTATGATTTCAAAAGAATTCAGAATAAATCAACATTTGAATTCATCAGGTATAAATGAATCATGCAAATTACACAATTAGGGCGTGTTCACACTTGCCGTTTTCTTTGACAAGAAAAGTTGATACGGGCACTTTTTGTGAACATGTCATTTAAACGCCACCACAGATGTCTTTTTCTGCAGCTCCAAGTGTCTTTTCAAGTTGAATAAAGTTCAACTTTTCTGAAAAACACCCCCTATGTCAAGCGCCTTTTTCTTTTTTTTTTCTTTTTTTCAGTATGTTTTATTGAGCACCAAGCATACAAAGTGTACACAATGTAAAACAGTACTGATAAATATGAAACAGTACCCAAATTTGGGTTGAAAACAAAGCATTTTTTAGAGTGTAAGTATAACACAGTAAAGCAGTCGTGTGTTTAAAAAGACTAAACTCAGTATATGTAGAAGCAGTGTTTCTTTACAAAGTGACATCGCCACCTACTGGCCTGACATAAATAATACAGCATTTTTAGTCATTTCCGTCGATCCATGCGAACGGGATTGTTTTGATAATGTTGTCTGTGCGTGAAAAACGCATTCAGTTTAAACTGAAATCAGACTCATAGGCTGCATCCCAATCGCATACTTCCCTACGAAAAACAGTATAAAGAAGTCTTGTTTTTTGCCATAGTGTTTGTTATAGACACAAACTGTAAACAGACTGACAACAGCAGGTGTCGCTGTTCTTCTTCTCCTGTCTCTAACAACTGGTGTGATGTATCGCCACAGGAGCTCTAGAAGAGGCAAGTATTACAGATATTATAGAGAGAGGAAAATATTGTCTTTATTATGCAAATTAATTGTGTGTGTGTTTATCTTTTAAAGTGAAAAAGCGTCCAAGGATGAGGTAATTTACTGTAGGCTACTAGTATGTCTTTGTAGAATCAGAAAATATATTAGCATTCTGCTGGAAAAAACAAACAAACAAACAAACAAACAAAAAACAATTGGGCACATATTCCTTTATTCATCCACTATCTTTCCACTTACTGGATAGAGTTTCCATCAAAATGATAATAAACATTTCAGACTGAATCTTATTGACTGATTTCGTGAGTTTCTGTGACAGTTACTGCTGTTCATTTCTCTCTCTTTAACAAACTGTAGTGTTTCCAGACGGAGAAAGATCACGTGATCGGAAATGATCCCAACTGGATAATTGTGTATCTGACTATTCCCATTGGATCAGCAAAAACACACTTCATCTGTTGAGGTGTAACGTTACTTATTATTAAATAACACAGTCTCATCCCAAGACGTCATCTTTTGACCATACGTCAACATCCGACGTTTTAGGGTAGCCTACCCTTTAACGTCAGTTAGATGACGATCCTAGGGCGTCATATGTCTGACGCTTTACCTTTAGCGTCAGTTAGATGACGCGGGTAGGTTTAGGTCTGGGGTAGGGTTAGGATTATAGCGTCATATACTGACGGTAAAGGGTACCCTAAAACGTCGGATGTTGACGTATGGTCAAAAGCGTCAGCATATGACGTATTGGGATGAGACTGAGCTGTATTAAACAATTATTAATATGTGTTATGGTTGAAACATGTTATGTAAATAATAACCTACCTGTTACAGGAAACATATAATTTAGGATATTTAGAGAAACGTTACTTACATTATCTGATAGTTTCAGCTTATAAACCTGAAATACATTAACATGTATCATGCTTATTATAATAAGAGTCTTGTTTGAGATTATGTATTAGTGGAAGAGGTTTGTTTTCAGCGGTTTGTTGAAGGTTGAGAGAAGGACTTCAGTGTTTTGCTGTTTCTGGTCTGTTGAAGATGAGCAGATGGAAAGGATATTATTGTATAGAGTTTATATAGATTATCTATGACTATAATGTAAAAAGTTGTAAAAGACAATTGTACTGTAAAATAAATTATTTAATTATTATTATAATTGTATTTATTCTAATATGTATGTCTTAAATTCTACATTCTAACTTTTATATTGGCAGAATAGCTACTGCTAAAATGCTGTAAACTTTTATCTGTATTTTCTTTTAACTCAGCTTAAATCATTGGTGTTTGAGCCTGACCTGAATGAAATCATAGAAAATAAAATGTTATTGCAACTGTTGTCCAGTTTGTTAATTGTAACCCAGACTGGTAACTGTGGTCATAATATTTTACTTATTTGCAGAAAATAGATCGCAAATATACATGATGGTCAAACAGCATCAGTGTATAATGATGAATCTACAGTTCCTCACCGCTAGAGGTCACACACGTCACAGATTACACTATAATATTTACTCTGACACTACTCAGATCAGACCTCTAAATACAACTTATATAAAATAGGCCATAAACCATAAACAAGAGGCATTTTTTTCATTATAAAATGAATGTGATTAAACTAAATACAATATAAAGCAAATGATACATTCAAGAATATCACATAAAACGTGTGCAAAATGCACTGTTTCTAGTCTATCCCATGTTTTTGAGAGAACAAAATCGTCACATCCTGGGAATCTGGCGCAAAGTATCAATTATAAAAATTAAAGTTTCAGAAACTGGCAAAGCCACGGTGGCTCTTTCTTCTACATAAATGATATGTGTGTCTTATATTTCATTCCTCAAACAGTGTGGTTTATTTTGACATAAAATCCAAAATATATATTTTTTACTAAACTTGATAAATCAATTTGCAAATATAAACCTTGTGTTGATTTTATTGATAACTATTTTCATTTAAATCCTTGCATATATCTGTTAAACTTTGCAGACAATAGGCTTGTTTGAGATGAGCAAAATCTGCGCAGAACCGATCACCGGTGATCAGCGCGAGATGCATGCCGGTTAGAAATGTGTCCGAGTGCGGTCCGCCTTGCTCTGATGTCATGCCGACGTATGTCAAAAAACTCTCGCGACTGCAAGGCGCACGTGTCGGATTCTGCAGTCGCGCGCAGTTGCTCTCCACTGACTGCACTGATCAAAAGCACGATGGGAAACGACTTGCTGACGGCACAGCTTAATGCTCATTGGTTTAAACAACCGTGATGTATTGTTCTCTTTTAAAATGTTTGATTTTAAAACTCTGACATCATGTTTTATGTGTATAAATTATGTGTGGATATTCCCAAACTCTCTGACAGTGCGATCTATGTGATGTAATTTTATTTTTTTAATAAAAACACATGTCTGTATTAAAGAAAAAATTATTGATAAACACGTAGGCCTATTTAAAATGGAATTAAATAAGTGGGTGTCTTGTTCATTATATTTTCATATAAAAGCAACACAACTTAAATTACATCCAGTTTATTAGCAACCATGCACGAGCGTGAATCCCGTGAATCCCGCGATATCCACCTTTGATCTCACAGGTGTCTGATCCACTGCGAGAAGAGAGATCTGTCCGGCTTGCCTGCGCTTTTTTCACTCCTCCCCTCACTGCAGCCGCCTACTCTCGCATACATTTCAGGCGAGGCAAGGCGCATCTCAAACAAGCCTTAAAACTTCACGATATTTCACAGTGTTTATGATGGGCCTATCAGACTCCTCTTGTAGATCTGATGTCATAAAGCAGAAAAGCCACAGTAGCCACGCCCACCAGAGCAGAGAGAGCCAATCGGATCGCAGCTTCAGTAGAACCACAACAGTGGCCATGGACTTCTAAAAAAAGAAGAACAAAAAAGAAAGAAGAACAAAAAGAAAATGATCAAATAAGCTTTTCAACAAGCCGACTTTGTCAGGAGAACAAAATTGAAAATTACAGACTCTGTCAGTATGCTGAAAATGATCCTAATTTATCAATATAAGTGTCGTACCTGCACATGTGTGGCAGAGTGTGTTGATGTCCAGATGTGTGGTCTGGTTGCTGATGGGATTGTTCAGCACACAGCTGTAGGGGTTTTTATCCTGATATTCCACCTCCAGAGGTAGAGAGAGACTGATGCTGAGATCAGACGCACTGATGCTGGACAATACACTCATTCCTGCGTACCAGGAGAGAGTCACATGACTCACGTTCACCACTGATGAACACACCAATGAACAATTCTGGTGTGATAATGATGAAGAACAGTGTGAAGAGTTTCTGATGATGACAGGAACAGGCAGACGAGCTGGAAAACATGAGAGAATAAAGAGAAACGTGGATTATAACAATAAATAACAACAGATTGTCATCAGTTTAATCATTAAGTTACAAATAAACCTCTCAACTCACCATAGACAGAAACGTTAAATGTTTTTGGTATCAGTTTCACTCCCCTAATCAGTAGGTGATAAAGTCCAGCATGTTCAGTTGTGGGGTTTGTGATGGTCAGAGATCCAGTTTGATCGTCCAGCTTCAGTCTGTCTCTGAATCTCCCATCAAGAACATCATCATATGTCGGGAAAGCTCCAGCAGCTCCACTGATTTCAGCGATCAGAAACTTGTCATCTCCAAATTTCCACAGTATGTCATCGTTTACAAGTAATTTAGTAACATCAGTGTGTAAAGTGACTGAATCTCCCTCCGTCACTGACACTGACTCACCGAACACACCTGACGAACATGTTTGTCACATTAATGCTCTTGTTGTTTTACAAAGCCTAAAATCAGTTGTGATTTGTAATGTTTGTTTTTATACAGAGTTCCATTTGTACGTCATACCATCTGCTAAATAAATAAATAAATAAATAAATAAATAAATGTTTCTGTAATAATTTTTCAAATTAAGATATTCTGAGAAAAATGCATCAATCTTAAAAAACTTTAGACTACAAATTCACTATAATAATTTTCATTATATTTCTGTGAGACCATGCGCACCTAAACAAAGATCACAAACACAGACCACAGACATTAACCCATAAAAATGCTGTTATAACTTACCAATCAGACGCCACCAGCACAAACAGAACAGAACAAACGTGTGAAACATTTTCTTTAATGGTTTAATGAACAGTTTGACCTAAAAAGACGATCCGCTGATTTAAACAAAACCAGCAGATCTGGTGTGAATCCTCCCCTAAGACCCTCCTAGTTCACACACACACACGTACACGCACGCACACACACACACACACACACAAACACACACACACACACACAATGAAAGTATGTATAGTTATCTACATATGTTCTTCTGAGACTTTAACTGTTCTTAATGGGCAATTTTTTTTTTTTTTTTTTTTATCATTTAACATTGATTATATTTTAAAGGAATTTTAAATATGTAAAGTATGAATGAAATATTGTATAAATCTTCCTAAAATTTCATGGTACATTTTTATTTTATTTTAAAATTGTAATAATTCTCAGTTGTTCTAAATGGCAAAGCGTACAAATAAAAAACAACTTTATACCATTTCTCACTGCCAGTCTTGCTAAGGTTAGACTCCAGCAGCTCGTCATTCAGTCAAACTGAAACCAGTTGAGGTCACTTTTCTACGGAAATGTGGTTTCTTACACATAGTTTGCATGCTGTGGCCATTGGATTGATGTGTGTTTTAGTTTGTAGGTAGGTGGAGAGCTTCTTCCTGTCCTGCTTTTATTAACCTCACACTGACTTCCTCTCTTCAAGCCGTCTAGACAAAACGGCTTGAATCAAACCTCTAAATAAAGTCCCAACAGCTGATAATCTGAACACTCTGAACTGAACAGAAAAGGACCATTTATCCTTTAATCTACAGCCATTAAACATTGATGATAAAATTTTAAAAAGCACATTGCTGCGGTACACTGGCGAGGAGACAAGAATATCATCAGAAAAAAGGAATTTCTGGGGGGTGGAGTAAAAAAAATAAAATAAAAAATAGTAATAATAATAAAATTAAGTGGAATATTCTGCTTGAATGGTTGGTTGCATAATCTCAACGTGCTTGCCTATCAGTTTGAAGCCAATGGACTATCAGTTTGTATCTTATTCTTACTTTTCCTTTACTGTCTGATTTGGCTGAGCCTCACTCTTTGAGCCTCATCTTGAATAGAAACTATTAGACATTAAATTTAATATTACACAGCATAAATGTTCTACACTATGCTGAGATACAACACATTTAGAATGTGTATTGTAAATTAGCCACCTTTTTAAAATTATGTATAGGGTAAAACCGCTTGCATCAGCAACAAAACAATGATTGGGAGGCAAACACAAGGCATCTTGGGAGGTGGTCCGGCAGCAATTAAAGGGTTAGTTCACCCAAAAATGAAAATGATGTCAGTAATGACTCAGCCTCATGTCGTTCCAAGCCCGTAACACCTCCGTTCATCTTCGGGACACAGTTTAAGATATTTTAGATTTAGTCTGAGAGCTTTCTGTCCCTCCATTGGAAATGTATGTAGGGTATACTGTCCTTGTCCAGAAAGGTAATAAAAACATCATTAAAGTAGTCCATGTGACATCAGTGGGTTAGTCAGAAGTTTTTGAAGCATCGAAAATACATTTTGGTCCAAAAATAACAAAAACTAAGACTTTATTCAGCATTGTTTTCTCTTCCGGTTCTATTGTCAATCTCTCTTCACGAGTCCGTGGTGACGCTGCTGACGTAAGACCAGATAACTGGTTACCAGATAACACGTGAGCAGCGATCTCTGGTGTAGCTTCTCATGTACACCAAGTCCTTCGGTCTAAACTCTCTGACTGTGCCAGGGCATTTTTCAGCATTAAGCTCCTGTCTGCGAAGTATATCACCATCATGGTCAGGATGCAGACGATCCAGGGCAGTGGTGAGTCGCCGATTCATGAGCAACTCAGCAGGACTTTTTCCAGTTGATGAATTGGGTGTGACGTGCTGTGACAACAAGAAGCGAGCGAGCCTGGTCTCCCACTCGCCCTTGGTGATGCGAGACAGGGCCTCCTTGGTTGTCTGCACCATGCGTTCAGCTTGACCATTTGAGCTTGGGTGATATGGTGCTTTAGTGAGATTGTCGAATGCCGTTGCGCTCTACAAACTCTTGGAATTCCGCAGAAGTGAACGAAGCACCATTGTCTGACACTATGACGTCAGGCAAACCATGTGTTGCAAAAAGTAGTCTCAGTGTGTTGATGACGGCTGATGATGACATGGAACTCATCAGAGACACCTCCAGCCACTTGCTATGTGCATCAACCACTATGAGAAATACTTTGCCCTGAAAAGGGCCTGCAAAGTCAATATGCAGCCGGGACCATCTTTTTGTCGTCCACTCCCAAGGGTGCCCTTTCGCCTTAGGAGGTGCATGACGAGACATCTGACAGGTTTCACATACCTTGACAGTCTCCTCAATGTCCCGGTCCATGCCCGGCCACCACACATAACTCCTTGCGAGTTCCTTCATGCGTACAATGCCCGGGTGCGTGTCATGCCACATAGCCAGTACTTCTCTCCTTGCCAAGCAAGGAACAACCACACGGCTTCCCCATAGCAAACAGTTCTAGTGTGCAGAGAGTTCATGGCGGCGCGAAAGGAATGGTTTGAACCGGCTATCCATTACATCAGCCGGCCACCCATGCAGCACCCAGCGCATTACTCGTGATATGACAGCGTCTTTGAGTGTAAGGTTAGCAATTCGCTCAGCATGCATAGGTGCATCTGGCACCATTTCAAGTAGCAACACTTTCAATGGTGGTGGTGTAACAGCATCAGATGCCGGCAAGGGTAAGCGACTCAGCATCAGATGCCGTCATCTGATGGCGTCAGCATTGCCCATTTGTTTGCCTGGTCTGTAGCACACCTCATAGTCGTAAGCTCCAATGATCAAACTCCAACGTAGCATTCGTGGTGATAGGATGGCAGGCATTGGCTTGGAATAGTCCCAGCAGGGGTTTGTGATCTGTAAAAATCACAAAATGGTGGACTGCGAGATACTGGTGAAACTTTCTGACTGCAAAAACAACCGCCAATGCTTCCTTATCAATTTGGGCATAATTCTGCTCAGTGGTGGACATTGTTCTGGAAGCAAAACAAATGGGCCTCTCCTGGCCATCACATTCCATGTGGAACAATAAAGCCCCCAGCCCATAGGCTGAGGCGTCGCAAACCACTGCCAGGGGTTTCTTTTCATCATAGTGGACCAGCACTTTATCCATTTGCAGCAACTCTTTCGCCTGAGCATATGCCATCTTGTGCTTCGCAACCCACTGCCAAGTAGCAGACTGGTCTAGAAGGCGATGCAGGGGTTCCAGGACGGTGGCCTTATTGGGAAGAAAGCAGCTGTAAAAGTTAAGCAGGCCCAAGAATGCATGAAGTTCTGTTTTGTTCTGTGGGGGCGGAGCTTTTTGGATAGCATCCACTTTTTCACGGGATGGTTTGATGCCATCTTTATCCACTCTAAACCCCAAAAACTCCACTTGAGTAGCAGCAAAAATGCTTTTCTCTTTTTTTAGTCGCAGCCAAGCTTCAGCTAAGCACTTCAGTGCGGCCCGTAGCCGTGCATTGTGTTCTGTTGGACTCCTAGAATTTCTGCGAGCAAAGTGTCCATAAATCTTTGAAATATTGAAATGGCCGTTGACACCCCAAATTGCGACCGTCAAACCCAGAAAAGCCCACGGTGACTGTTAATAGTCAGTAAGTCGGCTGCGTCATCATCCACTGGAAGCTGCTGATAAGCCTGTTTCAGATCAAGTTTAGTGAAAACTACTCCTCCAGCTAGCTTCGAGAACAGTTCGGATGCTGTGGGTATAGGGTACACATCAGGCTTAACAGCTATATTCACAGTACAGTGGTAATCACCGCAAATCCTCAGGCCCCCATCTTTTTTGCTACAGCCACTATAGATGTGGCCCACTTTGCATGGCGAACAGGTTCAAAAATTCCTTGAGCCACCAATTTGTCCAACTCCTCATCAAGCTGGGGCCGTAAAGCAAAAGGAACTGGGCGGGCTTTGAAGAAACGTGGAGTTACTGTTGAATCAATGTCAATAGAGATCGGGGGGGTCCGGCAAACCCCAATGTCCTTAAAAACCTCTGAGTATTCAGCCAGCATTTTCTCCATGGACTGCAGCTGTACCCTGTGTACACCTTCCACTGATATTCCCAGGGCATCACACCAGTCCCGTCCCAACAGACTAGTTCCCTGGCCCTGGATGACGAACAAAGGCAGTGTTTTTCGTGTTCCTTTGTATATTACTTCCACAAATATTTTTCCTTTCACTTCC